TATAATCCGTTACGCGCAAAACGAAATCAATGGCGTATTTAAGAGATCTGGCTGTTATCAATTGACTCCTTTAGTAAGGATGTAAAGATGAGTAAATTTATTAAATTTGAGAAATATTAGTTATGAAAAAAATTAATATTCTATGCTAAAAAAAAAAAAAAGAGCGAACCTAATTTAGTTTCTTTTTTAAAAATATTATTAGTCTTTGCAAAATTTTATCAAAAACCGAACCGTTAGGACTATAAATTTTATTATTCGACCACATATAGTTTTGATTTATATAGTATATCGCACACCCAATGCAGCACAGCACAATTTGAGATATTCTAAATAATATGTTCTAAGCCCTTAAAAACCTCACCCAAACTCTAATTAATAACTCCAATGTAAAAAAATTTGTAAAATTTTATATACGTGACTTAGAAAATATAAAAATATAATAAAAACACCATATTAGTACTTAAAAATTTTTATTCATTATTTGTACGTAATTCTTAAGATGTTTGTTTATACGTATACTCACGTGATAGCTAAGCCTTTCAAACATCTCTAATATCTAATATGTATAAACATCTCAAAAAATGGTTCAGTTAATACGAGTGCGTTTTAATCATGTAATAACGACGTTACCTCTTGTTATTTTCAGTTATTGCTAAAAATAGTGTTTTACCTAATTTTATTAGAGCTATACAGAGCTGCGACTGCTAAACTGCGCATGATTTCGAATTTTAATACAAGCTATTATCCGAACTTGACACACTTGTGTGCACCATGCGCATGCATGATGCATGCAGGCATGTCAACCCTACCTGGAGCGTAGCAGAGGACGTTAGTGATGTGATCCATTCAAAACTGAATACTACAGATTGATTTCCGAATGGATTGCTTATGAATCTGTATGGATAATCGACAATACGCACGGATTGAATGAATTGATTAAATGGAGTGACTGGATTGACTGGATGTGCGGATTTTCGATCAATCCATACAGATCATATCTTTAATATAGGAGATTCCAAAATTGTATCGAAATCCTGATTAGATAAGCTGGAATTGACCAAGATCACTAAAAAATTTTACTAATGAAGTCATTTAGTAAAATGTGCCCAGCTAATAATTTTATTAAAACTCTGCTAACCAGTATTGCAAACCCTAACTCTAACTCGGATGTATTTCAACTCAGAATTTTAGGAATACTTCTATACAAATCCTACACCGGTTTAGGTTAAAATGCTATAAAAAAAAAAAGGTTTACAATTGTTTTATTATTTTTGGGATATTTAAAAAACTCGATAGCCGAATTGATAAGTTAATATTAAAAACTTATCAACAATTTTTCAAATATCTCAAAAATAATACGTAGAACAGCTATAATATTCGATAACTTTAAATTTTTAATATATTGCATATAGATTATGTATTTTAAAAAAGAATTTTGCTATTTACCACCACTGGTGATCATCACCGGTGTTGCTATATCTCAAAAATGTACTAAGTAAACAGGATCGGGTATTCTAAGTAAAAATGTTCAGAACCCCCAAAAACCTCACAAAAACTAAAATCGGGACTTTATATTAGCTCTATATTATATTATAAAAAAAAAAAATAATTCTCTAATTTCTAACCCTAACCCTAACAAATCTTAGGACTGGTGATGATCACCACCGGTGATATGTAGTAATTTTCTTTAAAAAAAATTATATATATAAATTTTTTCTTTGATGTAGAAAAAAAACTACCCGGATAATAAATATATTTATTAAATTTATCAAAATTTGACCCAGCCGGGTTATGAGAACCAAAAAATTAGCCTTATATATAAAAATTCAAAATAATATTATTTTTATTTTAATAATATTGTATAAGAAAACAAGTTACTGTATTACAATTTAGTAAATATCATGATGATATAAACATAGAATAGACTAGTATAATTTCCTATAACTACACTAAAACGCAATATTATACTCTCAAATTCTCTGTTAAAACTATAAAAGATAAATTTGCCCACTTAACATAGAAGGGTATAAGCTATATATGACAATCTATTATTGGTTAAAAGAACCTTAACAATATTATTTAAATTATATCATTTTAGTATACAAAAAAATTATATGTTTAGTTATTATAATACAGTATATAAATTTATTAAAATATTGTATAAGGTATACAGTATATTATGTATTAACGTAAATTAGATACGCGTAATTAGACGTTCATGTATATAGGTGCATGGTTGACCTTCGAGAATGCGATTACATTGCAATATGAACATGATATGAGTGTGCAAGAGTGAAAGAAGTGAAAGATTTTCACTGTAGCCCAGAAGAATTATATTTTAATATGTTCTGGTTGCATTTTAATATTTACCCTATTTTGATGGCAGGGCTTGGTTGAATAATTAGCGTTTCTAGCGTGATTTTGCCCAAGAAATGTGTCTGCCTTTACTAAAAGATGAGTCAACCCAAGAAGTGAATTCGTCCTTATTAAAAGATAAGTTTCACTTCAGTGAAAATCTTTTAAATTAGTATGTTTCGTTTATAGGATCGTAGTTTTTTTTTTTCTAATTTTATCATCAGTACCTACGTCCTCAACTCGTCTTGTGGCTTAACACTATTTGATTTATCTATAGTGATTAAAGAGTGCTATATTTAGTTTATTAACGCTTCTTGTTCCCATTTTCTTAAATCGACATATCATAATTGCACTTCCAATCTTGGCAGGTCTCAATTATATTAAAGATATAACTTATTCAAAACTTTACCCAAATTCAGACTGTAAATGCACACTATACTGTATAACGATAAATTAAAATTTTGGGGTTTTTTTGAATTAAAGACTTTAACTTCGAACTATCTTATATAAAATTAAAATTTTTCCCTTAGATGAAAAAAGACTTTACACTCTATTATGAATATATTCTGATCGTTTTGGTGTAAAATTTTGTTTACTCACTCCATAATGTATTAATATACATTATTATTCAAAGATATTACTGTATAATACAATTTTTTTTTTTTATTTAATATTGAAAATATTGAAAATATTGAATACAATGTATTTAATGAATGAATAGAAATAATTTCAATAAGATTGCAATAAAAAAAAAAAAAAAAATGAAATAAATTTTGCAATCTTTTTTTAAAAATATTTCTACTATATGAATAACTATATTAATATATTTATTGTAAAACATTAACCCATATTACCCATATTAATACATTTAATTTTATAATAAATAGAATGTGGATTTTTGTCATGTTGGTCGTAATATCTAACTTTTCTATAAATTATCCTTAGAAAAGTTAGAAAATTCGGATTGTCCCAATTTAGTGTAAAGTTGATCGGTCATTGAATCTTCTAAATTAGAAGATTTATTATTCGAAAGTAGTAGTAGCAAGAGTCTCTCAATTTTTGATGATTCAATTGTACCAATATTAGTTTGCAAGTTGATAGAAGGTTGAGAAATAATTTCATAATATAACTGATCATCCTGAATATACACAAATTAATTTATCATTCCAAAAATTGAATGTAATTACTAGGAAACAATCCTCTCTTCTTTCTACTATCATCAAGTAATTCACCTTCCCACCATCCATCAGGATTTGTACCCAATACTGCAATCACATCACTCGCCAGAAATGATATTTCTTCCTCTGATGTAGCTTTATAATCATATAAAGCTTTCACTATTTCATAAAGTAAATGTGAGTTAATAAAAAATTTTTTTTAAATCAATTTTTAACACCTAATTAGTCTCTATTCATTAAAATAGGTTACAAATAACATGGTGTTAAATTTCATGCTTAAATTTTTTAAAAAAATAGCTCAAATTAAATACCTAAACATAAAACTTGTCTACCATCATCCATACGTTGTATTCCTGCGCCATTAGGTCGCTGAGCTGCAAACGTACTATTATTATATGCTTGCGGTGGTGGCTGTCTTGGATCATAAGAAGGAATATTATTATAAAATCCTGAATTCGGATACATTTGTTGAGGATATTGTGCTCTCATTCGAGTACTACTATTTCTTGCAACATTATTTGATGAACCAGGTGATGATGATACTCTAGGATCTTGTGAACTATTATTCATTGCTAATTGATTCTGGGTGGGCATATGCGTTGTAGGCATTCCTCGTCCGTATGGAGTTGTATTTGATGGAATGGTATTGTATGGTGATCCACCTGGGTGCATTTGTTGTTGATAATGCATATTTTGCGGGGGAATTCTATTATCGTAATATGCTTCAGCCATATCGTCTTGTTTAACACGTCCACGCGCATCAAGCTGAATCCCAATAGAATTATTACTATTAGAGCTAGATGCGGTTCGTAATGTACTTGATCTTGAAACATGGTCATTCATGAGTGAATTTTTACGCGGAGGAACCGTACTTGATCTTGAAGCATGTTCACTCATGTATGAATCATTACGTTGAGGAGTATTAGGATTTGGTGATTGGAAAAATCTGCGTGCATCACCTGGGCCTTGAATATTTGGTTGTGATGAACCTGAACCAATACCAGGTGTTGATGATTGACGTCGCAAATCACCCGGGCCAGAAGTAAGTGGTTTTGGGGAATTTCGTGAAGAAGAGATACCTTCAAGTGCTCGCATAGATTCCTGTCTATGCGCATGAATTTCTTGACGTTGACTATTTGTAAAAAGTGGTGAACCAGCCTCGGGAGATTGTGTAGTGGCTTGCAAAGGAATCGAACTTGAGTCATCAGGTATAGGTGGTTGAGATTCTATTGTTTTTGTTATTGGAGATGAAGAATTCGGTTTGAAATTATTTTCTAACATTTCTTCTCTTTCCTCATCCATCTTTTCCTCCTCATTTTCTTTT